GGTCACCTTCCCAATTCTTCTCATGGTTGTTTTAAGGGTTGATTTTCTCCTCGTCGTCCTCTAATAAATCTGAATCTGTTAAACCAGGAGCCATACGTGGCCCGCCTGCTAAGCGCGAAGATCGTTGTAAATCGTCTTTCTAGAATGAGACTAACTATTCCAGAAGTGGTTCGTAATGACCTGTTGATATTGTATGTTTCTGTTTAATTTTAGCTCATCATGTTATATTGACTACATAAAATGTATTCACACCTCAGTACTAGTCTTATAACAGCTTTAAACATTTATTATTTAGTTTTGCCCTTGGCACCCATTGACAGCAAGATTATGTCTTCTAATACCTATGTTAATGTATTGCACTTTGTTTCTAATATAGATAATGTATGTATGTATTGTTCTTAGTCCAGACATTTCTAGTATTGTTTCCATATGCCCAAAATGTCACACACATGCCCAAAATGTCACACAGTTATTAGCAGTATGCACATATTGAATGTACTATCCACTTTTAGTCAGTAATGTTACGTATCTCTAGAGGTATAATAGGGGTAAACCTTAGCAGTAGCAGCAAACAATAACACTACAGATCATAAAAAAATCGAAAACTCACAATAATTCTTTGCCTGACCCAATTACTGAGACCCTTGAAACCAAACCAGTCCTAAATGAGTCCCAAAATATCTGAATAATTACTAACGTTTCTACTTAGTGGTCCTGTAATATCATTATGTATTAAAATACTCAAAGGCTTTGATTAATTAATTAAACCTGGGTGCTTCTGTTGATGGGGTATCGAGTTTGGAAATTATTATGACCTTTCATCAGGCTTAATTTGATTCTGGAAGGTTTTTGTAGGTCAATACCATTTAATGTACAAAGTATTCAAGCACCGTTTGCTAAATGACGTAATAAGAAGAAAATATATGTACTTCATAACGTAAATGTATTAGATTAGGCAGAGACAATAAGCTAATGTTTTATCTTCATTCAATCATGATTATGGTATATTTTATTTTATCTACGTTCATTACTTTCGATACATGTTAATGTAAACAGCAGTGACATAATTGTTTTCAATTTGTTTGTATCAATTTCATTCGGCAAATCTCTTCAAATATTTTCACGATTATCTATAAACAATGATCAAAACGATTACATCAAGAATATTACATAAACGCACGTTTCCGTCCGTCCGTCTGTCACGGACAAACGCGAGTTGACTGTAACATACTAACGTTGCTTCTTGTTTAATTCATGAGCCGCCATCTTTGGGCAAGCGTGTGCGCCGGCCTTTTAGCAAAATAGACGTTTGTTTTGTTATTTGATTTACTACTGGAAAGGGGTAAATGTGTTTAGTTGTTCAGGTCTCAATTGAATTAAGGGTTAGAGGAATTTCGACGAGTAACTGCGGATGTTTTGAGGTAGGCGATTGGTAGGATGGTTCCAGCTAGATGGAATAATAATATTTGTTAACTGGCAGCAGTTGATGCAGAACCGAAGATGCTTAGTGGCGTGCTATTGGAGAGGCCTTTGTACAGAAGCAGATGTAAACAAGATGATGATGAAAGTATCCATGTACTTGCTACATAGCTAAAAAAACGCACATGGCCTAAGTAGTAACTGCTAATACCACTGGCATAAGAGAGATACCAAACTACAACACTTCGAAAGCATAACATCTTAGCATTTATTTACAAAAGAAAACGCAGTAGCCATACAAAACACAATCGTGACCACACAATAATGTGCGGATCACAGTTCAGTATCAATTGACATAATGGTTGTACGATTGTGGTCGGTAACAGGAGATAACAACATTCAACTTATACAGTCACTCGTGTGTCTTAGAAATGATGAAGAGGTTGGACAGTATCGACAGAACTAACAAATAATAATATACATACATGACACGTAGGTATCTACATAACATATTAGGAAATGAAGTCCTTTTCGACGTCTATGTGAACGCGATAAATTCAAAAATTACTGGACTGATTTTATAAATTTACGATTAAGGCCCTAAGGGAATGCCCAGAGCGAAAATCTAGTAAGCTGTGGCTGCGTATTAAGGCATCAATCGATTTGCCATCAAAAGACTAAAGCGCTACAGTTCCAACGTATTAACAAATAAATATGTAATCGAAGCACCAAAATGCGTCTCGAAGGACTACTTACCAATGACTTTATTTTTCCCAACGGGGATTTTAGGATACAACCTTATTGAAACACTTTATAGGATTAGAGAAGGATACACAGAACTTGATGGTGATGAATAAAACCATCGAAACGTTAAATTGTAAGGAAACGGATCATATATAGAACCTAAGAGTACAAGGATATCCGAAGCTGCAGACAACCTAACGGTTTAACGGGGCTTCAGCTCAAAGCAGGAGTAGGAACAGGATGTTCTTTTTTAGTTAGTAATAGTCTGACACTCTCATCTAAGGCGGGAGAAGATATTACATAATTTCCCTCTAAAAAAGTGCTAAGAAATAACACACGGCGAAGTTTAGATTGGCTGTGTCTGAAATCAACGGATTGGCAATTCAATGACCACAGAAATCGCATTGACTTTAATACATAACCAAATGGATTTAAACGTTGTATAATGCAATCGTGTCCATCAGTATATGTATCTGCGTACATAATGTGGATCGTTTCTCTCAATACTATCACGTCTCGAATAGAATGACAAGTAGCTAAAACATGCTGCTTTTACACGATTAGGACATGCTCAGTATTCTGTTCTAGGCTTAATATTATTCGATTTCTTCTTACAAGTAGAAACGGCTTAAATGGATTATAAGAAATGGCGTGATACGACTTAGAATCGTTTCTGTTTGTATTATGAGATGAGTAAATGGTACCTACGTTAGTTGTGACATGGGATTTGCTTTACATGAATGGCCATTCTTCCGTATAAACAATTTTGTTTATATGGACTTCTGTTGGACTCGAACATTCTTTTTTGTGTGTATCATCTACTGTTTACATCATGTTTACTCTCTCATTTGAAAATAAAGACTAGTCAATACCTCTTTATTATTTTATAAACATCAGCTCTAAAGAATACTTGCAGTACCTATGACTAAAGTCCACGAACACTAACATACGATCAAAATAAATAAAATTTCGTAACGAAGTACAGTTAAGAAAAGGATCGGAGAAAGAAGATTTATTATGAAGCGAATGTTTTATGTATAACAAGCGACCGGACGATACAATGATAATTAAATCAGCACATTACCTCTGATTAACAATTTAAACCCAGGACTTTAGTTAGAAAGGCGTTTTCATCTAGATTTGTATGAGATTCGCGAGTGCTTGTATGTTATGTTAATTTTAGAGAGTTAGTACATCGGTTTAAGGCTGGTGTAAATAATTATAAGAAAATAAATGTACTGTATTTGAAGTAGTATTGTTTGTCAGAAAAATGGGATGATACATATTTCTCTTGTACTTGGAGACTAACTTATTATGATTTACCTCATTATATGAATTACAATAAAAACACCAACAAAACCTTTTAAACACACCTATACGGATCTCATAATTGGTACTAATCTAAGCAAAGTGATGAAATATCCTCAACTTTCATATCGTTTTTACTTATAATCATAAATCAAAAAAAAACGCTGTAATACTTTCATGTTTTTCCCAGGTATTGCAAGAACTCGCATTTTCACAAAATACAAGTTAGCGAACAAGACAGTTACATCAGCGGCATAGGACATAATAAGGAAAAACTTCGAGCAAAGCGTTATAGGTTTTCTTTAGTAAGTTAGGAAAGAGAAATATCAGGGCCTTGAATAATTAATTACATTGCTTCCACGGGGACTAAGGTATAACTTATTTATTTAGACCTCTTTATGAACAAACTTCCTGATATAATATTCTATTTTGTTATGATGAGAAGAATTCATACATATTAAAGATGGTACCTTACACATATAGTTTTAGAATGACTTGTTTTAGTTTTAAACACCTTTGGGTAAATGGAAGTCCCAATATGTATAAAACTGGTAGCCAAAATCTTGTGACAATTTAATGACCCAGTTGGACAAAAGCCAGAAAATAAAAGCTCAAAATAGAGTCCTATTGTAACTTATCGGTAAGCAATAAAATATTACCTTACTTTAATATACTATTGGTCTAAAAATACAGATTGGGCTACTGGGACTAATATCAACATTTATCTACTTGGAACCAAGCCAAAACTGTAACTGCAATGGGAGTTCGTAACCTATGGCCTTGCATTAAAAGGGACTGTAATTTGTCGCCAAGTTTGATCCATATTTGACACACAAAGGACCATTATCAGGCCTTATTCAATAAAAGTGGGTAGCAGTTATAAATCAGACCATTTTGGTACAGTCCTGTTAGAGTGTGTTGATGCGATTGTGTTCCGAAATAGACTGATGTGTGTATCAGATTGGACTAACATAATAATAATGATTCAGTAAGTAACTTGGATAATTCCAAAACTAGTATTGTGTAATTAAGAACTAAAGCATTTATTGTCCAATAGAGAACTAATAAGCTTTAAATTATTTGGTAACCAATACGTTAATCAATTGATCAAAATGCTATTGGCTATGCATATCCCACATCGAAGAATAAATCTTAATGAAGATAATATAAATCAATGTCGTTCAGAAACAACTGCAGCTGCGAAGGAACAAATGACACGTGAAAACGCAGAAGTTGCACAAATGGTCCTTCGAGCCATTAACCGCGAACTTGGTCCTTTTGTGAGAAACTTATGCCCCATAATGTGTCTAATTAAGCATTCGTTTTAATGCTAAACCTCCCAGTAATTTCTATAACGAAGATGTTTCACACAGTAGATTACATATGAACCTAATTTTTGAAAGAGAAGAAACAATATCAATTATAATATATCCATATCGACTGGCCCAGAAGCTACCACAAAAACGTAGATGACCTATAATATAATTTTCCTAATAAGATTCTCTCTAACAGACTTTAACAGTACTGACCTTATGATAGGTGTCTTTCTGCCAGTTCTTGATTTGCGCCATGACGTCATTGACGAGCCGGTCGCGGACGCTCAGGTGTAGATCTGAGAGACGCTCCGCTTCAACCATACCTCCTTTCCACGCAGCTTCCATTGTGCCATATTCGGGGCCTGAAGGACAAAAAACATTTGAGTCACTGAAAAATTAAAAACATATTCAATAAGAAGTCTTTAATCATCATCACCAACAATCCGTGAGAATCCATTGTTGGACTATGAACCTCCTTGACAAAAAGAGGAGTTGGCCATTATCTCTCTGTTTAGCAGACGAGTTTCAGACAATAGCATCAAGCATCGAGTTTATCACAGAAAGCATCTGTTAAAAATTAGAATATCTTTGTAGCTCTCAAATTATTCACAAAAAGATGAAGAAATTGGAGAATATACACTAATTTTCTCTCAAAAGCAATTAATGACAGCCACATAAAAAATATGTTGTGGTTTCATATGACACAGGAAATGCCCACTCGCTCATTTGGTACTCACAAAGGTCGTGTATTAAAAAAGGGTTGAATTAAAATTACCCACAACTGACGGGGATGCCTGAAGAGATAAAAAATGCCAGAACAGGGTTATTTGTTGTTCCATGCATACATATGTACTCAGTACTAAATACAACAGCTCTATGTTTTATCGCATATATGAATAGCGATTTGTAAATATAATATTCTGAAGACTCTAATAGTGAGAATAAAGCTCGCACATACGAGTTAATGAGAAACCAATAGTTATGACTATTCTTTTTAATGTTACTGTCCGATGAACATTCCATGATTACATCCTCCTGGAATTTACTGAATCGTGGTCCTTCGAGGTTTAATAAGACCAGAATCATCAGTTAAGACTAAATGATCGCAAAGCCCATTCTGACACAACCATCTTACGTGGTCACAAACCACAAGAGCATTGAGTAATACTTGTTTGACATCCATTAACAAACTGACTGACATCTTGTTTACTTTTTTTTATGAGAATTGAGAAATGCCATCGACCGTTACGTTGTCTTTAGGCTGTTTACAAACTGACTGAGTTGTAGTTTTTATCGTATGGATTAACGAGCTGTTTCTAGAACTAAGACTAACTGTTTGTTGCGGTTGACTTGTGCATGAGTTGATTGAGAGTAATTCATGTCAGTATTGATATTTATATCACAATTGATGACGGTCTGGAGTATGAGTAACTTGACAATTCAATATTTTTCGAGTAGGCTACCCTGCTATAGGATTGTGAGGGCCGTGTCATTGAGACTTCAACCTTTGGAGTCATTTCATTCGTTTGTTAAAAAGGTACAAACATCATAGTTACTTTAAGATGCGATATCTAACAAGACCTACCAATATAACCGCCTAAAAATCTTCTCACAACCACATAACTGATAACATCATTACTCAACCAAGTCTTACTGAGAAGTAGCTCGGCACCGGCACCAATTTGGTCAATCTCATAATAACTTTCATTGCACTTGCTGTAAACAGCAAGCAGTAATATGCGGGGAAACCGGTCGGCAGTTGTGGTCGATAAGGTGCTATTCAGACTTATAAACGAGTGTTCATGTAATGGATACTAATGGGGACACCAGACTATGAAGCCTGATATAGTGTGAAAGCGAGGTAATGTGAAGACTGCCTGAGGTTTTCTTGACCCTTTCGGCAGGTTAAGTTCTAAGGGAATAGTGATGTGCATGACCGCAATCAATCAGGTGAAGTAAAAGGGAAACTTTAAATTGACCATTAGACGTTAGATGGCTATCGAAAAAAGCAGAACTGCAATGACTTTTTAACTTGCCTAAGTAGCATTTAAAGATTAAGATGAATATACAGATACATAGATGTGTATATATATAAATAGTACATTGTGTAACGAGCCTCGACAAAAGCGACACAATCAGGTACGCATAACAAACCTGCCTCATCAGTCTAGAGGCTGCGCCATTTTCGCAAGTGCATTTCATAATAACAAGACTTAATAGTGACGTAAGGGTGCACCAACCCGATGACCGATTCGCATACCATTCTAAATTCGAAACGACCAATCGCGACACTTTCGATTTTTAAATCGCCCAATGAGATATGTTAAACACGCTTTCGGCGACGCGTACCGAAGGACCATTTCGGTTTCGTGACTCGAATACAAGTTGTCTCGAATCAGTTTCGATCCTGACTCGATATGCTCGATTAACTTTCCTTTTCATTAACAATATTTTTATTCTCGACACATTTTGTTGCTTAACTTTGAATTCATTTTCATGGAATGAAGGTATTCTTTTTGCGAATATCAAATTGGTCGTAAGAAATGAATGATGTATGGCACATAATGGCTACAGTTGTGTTTTCTTGAGTCATGTAATTCGCTATTGTGTGGTGATTAAAATGGACAGCCACTATAGAATAACATTTTAATATGATTATTGCAATCTACTAACAAATGTTCATTTATGTCGCAATAATAAACTGTGGCTACCACAAACAAAATTTTTGGGAACTTAAAATTAAATGTAACTTGCTTTCTTATTCCATTTTCCAAAAAAAACAAGTAGACATCAGGACCCACATATTAATTGACTATTTTCCACCAACACCTAATTACGACAATTACGTTCGAAATTATCGAAAATACCATCAAAAAGATACAATTACTAATCTTATCATTCGTAATCGAGTGAACTCATTATCATATTTTCACTTCGATTATATTACAGTACAATTGTGTAAGCATTGATAGAGATTTAATTTTAAACAATATCTTTGGCGAATTGGGTACAAGGTCTCATGCATTTTTATCTATTGTAACACTATATTTGTTTGTCTGTTTGTAGCTAAAAGGCTCTGAAACTACTGGATCGATTTTAAACATTGTTTCAAAGTTATGAAACTTGGGAGTACATAGGCGCTACATTTTACTTTTATTTATTTTTTTGTTTATAGGATAAACCGGTAAACGAGCTGACTGATCACTTTATGGTAAGCAATCGGCGTTGCCCATGGACACCTGGAATACCAGAGGCGTTAAAAGTGCGTTACCGGCATTTTTGGGGATTAGGAATTTGAGGATTGTAGGGGACTCTGGGGACTCAGGGATTGGGGAAGACGGAGATAATTTGGTTATGACAATATTCCTACAGGATTGGAACTTATTTGGAAGAAAGCTTCTTATTGTAAACGAGAAAAAAGGCAGATGATTAAGTTAGTATGTAATAAAATTAAAATATATCATTGTTGAACGTATCGATATCTGAATCGAATGTGATTATGAGATTTGTAATAGATGCCACCGACCAAGTCAAGGTTATAAAAGTATAGAAGCGTAACCTGCATCTTTAATGTGATTATTAATACTTATTTATAGACAGATTGAATACAATATATTAATATTAGATGCTTATGGGACTTATCTTAAGATCAAGACTTTGTAAATGTCAGTATTTCAGTAGATAAAATTGCAACAGTGAAAGTGATTGATCGTATAATTCGTATAACTACATAATTGGCTGATTTTTATACTTAATTATTGAAGCATAAGGTTGAAAATGCAATAAAACAATTAGATTGGGATAACTTAATGTGCTGGTACCCTGTACAATACTGTACATACATCCATTGTAATTGTAGTCATAATATTTATACGTTTATAGACTGCCTCGTTGGCCAAGTGGTCGCAAGAGCGACTGCCGGGCATGGGGTCTCGGATTCGATTCCGGCCCGGGCAAAGTATTACTGGGTTTTTAAAAATTCTCAGTAGTAGCACGGTGTCTGGAATTGTGCCCGGTATAGGTATGGCAAAAGGGCTCATCTCCCTGTTACATGGGACTCGTAACATAAATAGTGAAAAGTGGGTGTTACATTGTACAGTGGCATATTGTACAGTTTTGTACCGGGGACAAAAGGCGTGATATTATATATGTTATGTATTTATTATGTGTTGTAGAAGTATGTATTACGTATGACGCGTTTAGTTTCACGACAATTCTTAACGGATAACGGCTATCGTACGTGCTTCTCGATGTTTTGCAGTTTCTTTTGGCACAGTCGTATTTGGTGGTTAGGGGTGAACGTTATAATTAAGTATAAACTTGAGTTTATGAGTGCAATATGTTAATAGGGTAGATGCCTAATTTTTTGCATCAATGAAAAACAGTATTAAAATAATTAAGATAGAATTGTAACTATCGTATTATGTTAAACAACCACCTTACATCCAATAAGTAAATGATGATGACATTACTTGCAGGCACATGATAAAGTTACAAATCATTACAATGTGCACGTAGCTACGTAAGACACACTGTTTATTGAAAGTGGTTACACAGTATGTTAGCTGTCGTGTTTTATGCTAATTTACGACTTGTTTCTCTGTTGCAATCTCTTAGTATGCTGTTACCATCCTCATTCCGATACTATTCTTACTACAAATTGTTTAAAATTACTGGCTTCTAGATCCTTTCATTAAGCAGATTAAAATTACACGTATGCTATGTATTTTTTTTTAATCATCGAATGACTGCTTCCGCCTGGGTGAGGCGGGAGGGAATGTCAGACTTTTACTGACTAAAAACCACCCCGTCCCTTCTCCTGCACGTCGAGCCGGAGCCCCGGTAACCCGTTAGGTTCTCCGCGAATGCGAATTTGCATGCTATTAATATGAGTTTAAAGTAACAGAAAGCATATTATAACACTCTACGGCCACTATAAAATCACTCCATTTTGGCATGAAAGAAAGACAAATAAATACACTTTCGCATAATACGTATAATTAACTTAGTAAGAATCTCAAACAAACAGGAAATCTTTCCACTAGGAACCAATCAACGTTACCATAATTTTAAAAACAGTGAGAAGCAGCATTATCCAGGTGCTCCAATGTAAAAATTCGAACAGATCCTTGGGGACTAATCAGAAACTGCTTTCTTCGCAGCAACGCGGATGAATATTTAATTTTCAATTTGACGCCAACGGTAAGTAACCGAGGACTCGCAGAAGGTCACGGGGTCAAAATTACACGAGATTTTCAACCATAATGATTATAGTGATTATAAAAATCTAGCATGTAATTCAAAAACGTAAATAATGTGTTTGTTACACCATTTGTTCATTGGTTTGGAAATATTTTCGATC